AAAGAATTTAAATTATCAATCGAGATACTCTTGCTTTACCGCAACTACGGGTCGTTACCGATCTATTGCGCTGACAATTACCGTTTAAATACAGCTACGGGTCGTTACCGATCTACTGCCGATAGTTAAATCTTAGTTTTCACGACGATAGAAATAAATAAAAAAGTAAAAAGTTTCGTAATAATTAAAGAATAAAGATCAGATCGATCGTTTATTATATCCGAATACTTCAGTATCGAATATTTTTTATTTCATAACATCAATAATTTCAACATTTTCAACATGAGGATTTTTGATGGTTGGGACGGCTTCTTATACATTTTGCTGTTACTAGATTTTCTACGCCACAAAGCGCGTATTTTCTATTTTCCCCACGCCGTCACCAAAATCGCGTTACTCGCGTTTGCTTTGAGTAACATCTAATTAAAATTAATTGATCGTCAGGGGTGTTGTTTGATTATTGCGGAGGAAGATTTTACCATGTGACTTGCTTATCAACGTCACTCGATCAGCTCGCCGTAACATTAATGGTGGATTTATATTCTGGGAAAAAATCAAATTTTCATCACACATCCTTTTAACTAAGTGCCTACATAGCAAATAACAACTTTTAAGAAAAGTGGGACATGAGCATATCTAAAAGGCTATATCAGTGTGATATACTGTATATTATTGATGTTTCCCTGGAAATACAAGGCTAAAATGCATACAGACAGTCAAACTTACTGTTCTCTGCAAAAAAGTTATTTTTTCCACTTACTGTCTCCGTCGGTGTAGTTAATACCGGTTTTGCTAGAGAGGGTGTAGACGACACGTTAAAATTTGCATGCGCGTTTTTCTTTGTTTCACTTCAGCACGTGACTGGTCCACTTGAATAAAATACGTCCGGTCTCTATCCCAGCGGTAACCTGCATAAAAAATTAAACTATATTCACGATGGAAATGCAAAAAACCCAAGTCGTCAAGTTTTCACCGACCGCTTGCGTAATTCGTACATTGCGTTTCCTCTCGTTCAACCTGCGTATTCGTATTATATCTTGAATTCAGAATGCATTTGGCAGTTGTCCCTCCACCTGCGCGTTCCCCGCGGCGAGCTTGGCACGGGAAACACATTCCCATCTCCAAACGCGTCGCTCACATAATTCTGACATTACACTAGACATTGATATTAAGATGGAACTGGCGTACGGCCGTTGTAATAGCATCAAATTGAGGTTAAACAGTGACTTTGACTGAAAATAAGTAAAAATTAAGATATTTGAGTGACGTCACATGTTCACTTTGTCTGGTTTTGTTGCTTAAAACTAAACTCGAAGAGCACCGGAGCCAATACGGAAGAGTAATTGGTATCGCACCTTACAAGTTTCCAGGACAGGAATGATTAACAGAGCGCTGGGCCTTGTCATCAGCATGTCCCAAATGGTAGTCAAGCACACAGTAATACGCGTACCATATTACTATACATTCTTCATAATTTATATGTATGATTATTTTTACATTAAACTCACCAATCGGGTTGATGAGTAGATAGAAAACTATACAACAACAAATTACAAGGGAAGATATGCAGAGCTACTTTAACAATAAAGAAAAAAAACGAACGAATAACACGGGGTATTTGCTGATTCTATTAGCAACAGTCACGTCCATCAGATCGCTATGTCTACATCGTCTATGAATTATCCCTAGAAGTCGGCACTTTTCCTCATTTGTCGTCTAATCCCACCGTCATATCAAAAGAGAGAGAGAAACAATATATTATAGAAAGAGAATTGCAAATTCATCTTCCTCATCCAATGGTTCCACATTGGCACCATCAAATAGGCGCTGATCGCAGGGTGACTGCGCATTATTGTAATGACCATACGGATTGCGAGGATCTATCCAGTTCCCGCATAAATAACAGAAATGAGTATGACATCGAGTACATCTCATGTGATTGCAGCCCATAGACTTTTCTATTGGTGTTTCACACTGAGGACACAATTGAGCATTAGATTTCAACCACTCCTCGTTGGCTCTTGTATCTTTCACTTCAGTGACCAATTTAGCAAGATTAACCGCTCCATAACGAAGCTCCAGCATTCTTTTGCTATCGTCGTCGGCGGCAAGATATTCGTCAACCAATTTCGCTGTGTTGTTTATTCTACAGCCAACACGTGCTCCGTGCCTTTGGTATGCAGATCATCAAATAGGCAAAACATGAGACAAAGTTGCAGTTGCATAACAATTCAACACGTCGGATGTTGTTTACTTACCATGTTCGCTTGCAGAAACAGCAAAAAGCAAAGCCACATTTAGTACAGACGCCTAATTTTTCAAACTGAGAGTCCTTTTTCACTGGAGCCTGACAATCAGATCTTGGACAGAATGTTACCAATGGATCAGATTCTAAGCGTTGTTTCTCCATAAGCATGGAATATCTCTCCTCCATGTCATTTCCGATTATCTCAATTAACTCTTCTTTGGATATAAGCTGTGACTGTCTACACCCGGGCTCAGGACACTTTACTTGTAATACAAATCCCTCGCGAACAAGCATCGTAAAGTATTCGCTTAAACAGGTTCGACAGAATACATGTAGGCATTGGCCCAGTTGAAAGCATTTTTGACCGAGTTTCTCTTCAAAGCAGATGCCACACGTGAAATGATCATGCAAAAATTCTTCGCTGACGACTTTTTGGTTATACGCACGTATGACCGTCCTTAGCGTCGATGATCCAACATAATCTTTAAATAAAATATTTTGATAAATGAGCATGTTTATAGTGTTACATAGTAATTAATATCATTCGCAAATTCATCCAATGTATTATGTCAATATATACTTGATACCAACCATCTCCAAATCGCATAGGTACGGGAATCTGCAGAAAATCCATCGCATTGTTATGTATGAACTCGGCAAAATGAAACAATATCTGCAGATAAATCGAACACATCATTAAATTCAGGCAATCAGAATGTGCAAGCATTAACGCACGTCATTCATATAACTCTCAACCTGAATTCTTACCACATCTCTTTCTTCTTCCCAAATATCTCTCAGCTTCCTTTCCAACATTTGTAACCAATCCCACCTCATCCAACAGCATTCCAATTGGAAGCACAATACTTCTTTCGTGGGATAATCGTCTGGCATTTCAAATATTATCTTAACTGGTGGCAAATGTTTTATCTTTAATGGTGCTTCGTTGGCATTCTTGCTATTCGCGAAATATACGAGAACTTCATCCGGCAATGCGAGTTCGACAGTCAATACTCCTCTAAAACGTGGGCTTGCGTCTGCAATGTCTGTATATGTGAAATCCTGACTGTAAATTGCCTGCGAATTATTATTAACAACGATAACAATTGTTTGTGTTGTATGATTTGTATTTTTTTTCCTTAATGAAAATTTTATTTTTTGTTGAATAGGAGAGCATTACATAAGGAAAAATACTGTCTGACTCCTTACCTCTAAGGCTAATATCTCGTTCTCTTGCTGTTGTTGATTAGTTTCGCTGGCATTAGACTGCGAAGTCATGGTTTATGTTGAAAAGATAGACCTGCAGCCAGTGTATATTTGTATGCTATGTGCATGTGGTGATTGATTGGTTGTGCCCGTGGCGCAAGGCGAAATACTGCGCACTGTATTGCATGCGCAGTCATTGCAGTAATTTACTTCACACAGTTCTTTTTATAGTAAATTTAGTAACGCGTTTATTATTATTGGTAGAATAATTCTCCGGATCCTTTCCGATAAACTCCGAATTGACTCAATGACACTAATACTAATACTAATATCAATGGCAATGAATAATTATACGGTAGGTCCTCTTTGCAAGGATATCACTACTCGGTTATGTATACCCTTTGAGACTACGCCTCCACTTTGTCATGATATTGGTGGATGCTTTTAAATTGTTTGAGCCCAAGACATTTTTGTCCCACACACAATAAAAGCAAAAATTCTGTGGTTATATTCATAGACGGCTAGTTGTCCTCAATGTAAAACAAAGCTTGATAGAGATATTAACGTCCTTAATGAAGATAATCTTGAAACATGGCTACGCGAAACAGTAAAAATTTAACTGTTAAAGAATGAAGATATTTCGTTGCTATCTTTCTCCGAAGTCAAGTGATTTTTCACGGGAGTCCGGTCTTATGTGTCGAATCTATGAGTGTCAACCATCCATGGCGTTCAAGTTTATTTAGTTGATATGGATGCGCAAACACAATGCCCGTTGAGGAACGTGATAACTTTCAACCAAATATCCATGCTCCGTTAAATAAGAGACAGAATCCAAAATATCCGATTTTAAAACCGAATTTAACGTTTGTCACTTCTTTACGATTCAGCTCGCGACACACCAAGACCTAAATTTAATGTTGCGTATTCTTTGATGGCAGAGGTGATTGCTGGAGGGGAATAATTTTCGACTGCCTCTATTTCAACTAAACGTCTGATAGCTCTTGGTCGGTTTATCCTATCGGCTTCTAATAAAGTGTGTGTATGGTCGGGAGAGTCTTTATAACGTTCTATTCGAACTATATTTGAAGACGCTACCCAAAAAAATTAATCTTCGCAAGACATAATCCGGGTTGCCGTATCTTGGTTATTCGGCGTTTTCACCTTGGATATTTTCCTTTTTTCGAGCGCTTGATTCGCGGTGCTTCATAAAGCGATAGACAAAAGTTTTCCGAAAATCACGTTTACATATTCGTATGAGTCCCATTTCGTCCAAATATTCGAGACTAATGGCCACCAGTTATCATTAAAATCCTTCGTTGGAATTTCTAGAGAACAGTTTACGTAAAAAAGATCCCGCCTTTGTTGTTGAGACTGTCGTTGCGGTTGTGAAGACTGCTGTTGGGATTGCTGCTGCAGTTGTAGTTGTTTTTGTAGTTGCTGCTGCTGGTGCTGCTGCTGTTGATCGTGTGGAGTAGCATGCGGAGAAGGTCGGTGATGCGGCCGTAAGTCGTGATTGTGAGGTGGGTATGGCTGTTTATAAGGGTATAAAGTTGATTCATGTTTATGTGTTCCATAGTTTCCTTTGCTTATCAGTTGATAATTTGACGGTCGTCGTAGATTGTTGAGAACTATCAAAATTCTTCTTCTGCCGCAATAAAGACCTCAAAAACTCAAAATCCTTCTTCTGCAATATTAATTAATAAAAACTTTCGCGTGTGCTGATCACGAGATGGGAGTTGAGATACTAAGCATATATGCGATAGATGCGGTAGAACTATTCCTATTGCGGAACAATTCATGACTTGCAATAAAATCAAACTCGTAATTTAACACGGGTAACACAGGGAATGGAAAAGCGTAACTAAAGACACAGCCCGAGTTGATTAACCTCTAGCAGTTGGCATATTTTGTACCAAAAACCAAGATTTATTTGCTATCTCGCACTCTCATTTTGACATCGTTTATTGCAGTCGTTAAACACGAAATTTACGTTGAACAAACACGAGGATATGACAAGGAATGCAATCGCTCGTCCTATGTTAGGCAGCCGAATACGAAGTACTATTCATATTTACAAACCACGAATGGAAAAAAAACAACACATCTCTTTCAGTCGAAACGCGTTAATTTACCCTTGGCAATTGCTGCCTTGACCTCAGTCGACGGACATATAGATGATACCTTGATACGATAAACAGTCATCAGTGGTATTCAGATACTCGACGTCTCAGTATTGACTTGCCCACAATAATTCATTGGATATTTACCGGACATTCCCAGCACCTTGGGTTACGTGGCAAACACGTTACCTGACCAAATCCGACGAAAAGCGGGTTTATTTCCGACCAAAGACTCTGCGGTAGCCATGATTCAAGCGCCTTTGAGCGTAAAAGACAATAAAGATTGTCTTTGTAAGCTTGTCGTTGCGTTTAAAAAAAACTGCAGAAACAAAAAACATTTTTACTTTTCTTGTTGCTTCTGGTCCTCCTTTTTCCGTTTTGCACCAGGCAAGACGGTTGCTTATTCGGTGTACATGCACATCAACACCTATTCCTTGATTTCTAGGGTCATTTTAATAAGACTTTTTGGACATGCAGGTAGCATGTGTTTTTTTTCGTTCGATGGATACTCACTTTTTCCATGCGACTTGCATACAAAGATATGCCTACGTAATAGAGTATAAACGATTATGGTGAGTGAACAGTTGGTATAAGGAATCAAGTATTGTTTAAATTACTACCATCTTGGGTCCTACTCCGGGTAAATTCATCAATCCTTCCACAGTGTCTGGTATATCCCCTCCATACAAATCTCGGCAGATAACAGCTGCTTGCTTTATATACCTAAGTAAAACCAAACATTCCTTAACACTAAATTACTAGCGGGTAGAAACGTGTCCAACAGGCCACTCATCAGAACTCACATAGCCTTTCGCTTGTGAAAGCCAACCTTGGATATGCACGCGTCAATAAATTCCTCGTCAGCATCCAATACACTCTGTAACGTTAGTCCATTTGGCAGTCTCTGTTGCAAATTCTTGATCGCTGCTGCAGTAACTGTATCTTTGGTTTGCGAAGAGAGCATCAATGCTACTAAAGACTGGAAGCGAGACGTCTGAAACGACAAAGGTTGTCATCGAATCGATCGTATAGCCCGTAAGTTACTTATTATCAATACAGCTCGAGTTTTTTGAAGTCGTATATGTAATACCTCGGCAGTGACAGTTTCACTGGGTTCATCAGCCAATCGTTCACATCCCATCGTATCAACAGGAGCCGTTACCCTCTTTCGATACTCTTTGATACCATTATAAACGTATTCCCAATTATCAGGTACCGCGTTATTTAGCTGATCGTTCTTCTTACGCATTTTCTTTGGTAATACTTTTTTCTCGGATTCGTCCTCAATTAGAATCGTCTTTATATTTTTTATCACCGTCCTGTCTTTGGCTTTTGTCTCTTCCTCAACTTCTATTTTCACATGAGCGCGCGCTCTCTTACGCGTTACTGGGACCTCGTACTTTTGAGCTGTATTGGTAGCAGTATTTAGTCGCATTTGGAGTACAAAGAATGATGCGCGATTACGATAGGAAAGCAAGCATCCAAGCCTGGCCATCAATAATGGAAACTCACATATTCGTCTTTATTTGTGTCACATTCGTACTAAAAAAAATGTGTCCGTGCCCAAATGACTAATGCTTTAGGACTAGGCTTGATTTCAACAACAATAATAATAATAAATCATTGGGAAATTTTACTTAAGTACACAAGCTGACACTTCCAATTAAGCCTATCAGTACCACTCATCAGCTCCCATATGGTCCAACATGACAACTGAATCAGGAACTGATCAACATTGATATCAGATGCGATTTTTCCATCGCATAGCATTAAAATCATGTCATCTACGATTCAGAGTTTAACTAAAAAGTTAGTCAACAATCCCGATGCTTTTACTCCATCAGATGCGCAGGCAGCAATCGTTGAGTTAATGACTGGTAGAGCGACATCAGCTCAAATAGCCTGTTTTCTAAGCGCATTGAAATTGCTAAACAAAGATGCCGAACCCGAAATAGTTGCTGCATGTGCGGCGTCAATGCTCGAGTTTGCGGTTAAACTGGATTTTAGTCAATATGAAGGATTACAGGATTCACTGGTGGACGTTGTGGGGACGGGCGGAGATGGTATGAATACTTTTAATGTGTCAACTACTGCGGCCATTGTAGTTGCTGGTGCAGGTGGGAAAGTTGCTAAAGTAAGAAAGAGGTTAATAGTAATATATGATTAAGTAACTAATATTCAAATATACAACTGATTTGCAGCTTGACAATGAAAATTATTAACAAACCGTTTTTCCTTTACAAAAAAAAATCCAACTTCGTACGACAAAGTTTGGCAACAGGGCTGCTTCGTCTTCAAGTGGATCAGCTGATATCCTGGAATCGCTTGGTTGCAAAATAACTAATGTTGCACCTAGTGAGGTACCTCACATAATCAATTCAAACAACTTTTGTTTTCTCTTTGCACAAACCTTCCATCCGGCTGTGAAGCATGTTGCACAGCCACGAAGGGAAATGGGTATTCCTACAATATTTAATTTGTTAGGACCGCTAGTCAATCCAGCAAGGCCAAAGAGAGTAGTGATTGGAGTGTATTCAAAAAGTCTTGGTCCATTAGTTATCGAGGCTTTGAGGTTGAATCAAACCAAGAAGGCTATGGTAGTGCATGGAGCTATTGGATTAGATGAGGTAAAATAGATATTATAGATGATGGTTTATAATATTTGCAGAATGACTAATTGTCGCTTATTCTTGTGACCTAACAGGTTAGCCCGGAAGGTGAAACCTTTGTAAGTATTCTTTCAGTCTTTTATTAAGTTGTTTAATAGAAATATGTACCAACTTTATTTTTGTTTTTTTTTAAAGGTATGGGAATTGGAAAATGACATTATCAAAGAGTATACAGTAACACCATCAGACTATGGTCTTCCCTCCCATCCAATCTCTTCTGTTGCTGGAGGTACAGCTAGCGAGAATGCAGAAACTTTATCAAAGCTATTATTAAACGAATATGAAGGTCCAGTTTTAGACTTTGTGTTGTTAAATGCAGCAACGGCATTGTATGTTAGTGGAATCGCAAAAGATTTAAAGGAAGGAGTTAAACTAGCTAAAGAAAGCATTACGAGTGGGAATGCAAAGAGAGCTCTGGATGGGTTCAGAGATGTGAGTTTACGAGAACAAATTAAATAAACCTATTTATTTGTGATAGTAGTATGGGGAATGTCAAGAGAGGAGATATCAATTCAGTTATCGTATTTGTAAATATGGGATGAAATAGCAAACAGAACAATACTTAATATTAATACTGTAACACAACTTTTTAACCATGATATTAGAAGTATACAATAATAAGGAAGTAAACAGAAATTTCATCGATATTCGCAATCTGGTGACGAGCAAAACTTGCAGAATGGCATACAATTATTCTCGCGCAATATGTGTTATAGCTCGTAACAAAATACCACTTTACCCTATGATCCTCAGTTCCAGTGTCCAGTTCGTCTCCCTCTAACTGTTTATTGTATTAATATGCCGTCACTGTTGATTCAATGTCTCAATCAATATTTTTTTTCGTCAGCACATGTAAATATATTGTCGCGAGGGTTGGATGCGTCCTATTCTCACAAAAATTGTCTTTTTGTCGCGTATTATTAAACAACGGTGATTACCTCGTATTAGACTAGCATATCCGATTGCAATACGATATTGTGATATGATCGATTCTACGTTGGTACAGTAATGGTATATTCCATAAGTCTGTGTATGTACTCTCATTTCATCATGCTGCAACTTTGTCAAATAATGTAGTTAGATTTTTTTTCAAAAGACACATCGAATTAGTTTCAAACCATAATATATGGGCAAGAAAGACATTTTATGGTTATTAAATAAGTCCGTCAATCATGTCAGATCACCATACGTACGACCGCCTTCTGAATTGCTCCTCTTTATGACTAGTGACATTAGTAATTTATTCTCTATAAAGTAGCGTAATTTTATAACAGAACTAGTTTTTGTGGCTTGTCGATCATGTGAATCGACAATCTTCTCGTGGTATTGAACATGTCTCCGGGCGCGGTGTTGAAACTTTAAGTTTACAATATGAGCGAAAAGTTTAGAGAAGTCTTGAAAGCAATACGTGATAATATATATCCAAGCCACATTCGTGGGAACTAGTAGACAACTAACTGTATACGAAAGGATGAGTAAAATCTATCTAACTTCTCTTTTCTTATCTTTCGATAGTCAAATACTTGTTATAAAGGTAAAATCATTATCATGTTATTAGATTTTATCAAATTACAATATTAAACTCAATTTCTCTTTAAGCATGTCAAATCCAAGTCAAAAAGGATACACGTTCGAAAAAATAATATATGACATCCTTGTGGAAAAAGGTTACGAAGTAGAATGGCTGTTGGGGTGAGTTTCACTGAGTATCTTGTTAAATGGTTATTGTATTTGAAGTACGCTGCCACTTGGGTGTGAAATGTCGGGATTGAAAGCGCATCGAGGCCGCAATTTGTAAATTATTATATCGTAGTGTAGTATCCGAAGTTACGCTGCCACTTGGGTGTAAACTCGGGTTTCAATAAACACAGTAGGTGTACATATATATTGATTCCCGTATCCGTCAGTGAGGTTCACGGGTGTGGTGAATAGGATACTTTAAACATTACATATGATAACTTGTTGGTTGTGAACGTTCTTTCCCGTTGCCGACGAAGCCGCCAGTGAGGGTTACGGGCGTGGTGAATATTAGATACATTGACCATTTGAATTGAAAGCGCTTCGTGGCCACAGCTTGCGAAAGTCGCTAGTCGGGGGACGGCCTGCTGTGAACCTTTTTCAAATGGCTTGACTATGATGATGCATTTACTCATTTAACATTTCTTAATTATCAGGATGAAATCGGGAGATGGAGGTGTGGATATGATTGTCTTTCATGAAGATTGTACAATATTCATCCAATGTAAAAACCATACAGGAAATATCGGTAAGATTTATTTACAACACAAAACTATACACAATATAATAGTAGATTATAAAATTCTAAATATTATCATTATTAATAAGGTCGGGGGCCAGTACAGGCACTAGGTGGATGGCTCTCTAGATTATTTCTGTGTTGCTGGTCTATTGTGGTGGCCCACAGAAATAATGAGAAGGAAGAAAAATTTGATGATGCGGCCGTAATAGTAAAAGAAGCAGAAACTTGCCGTAATTCAATAAGACTATCGTACGCAAGTACGATAGTTGAGGACATCGAAAATTTAGTATCTACAGCTTTAGCTATAAAAGAGAAACCGGTGCACTGGAGATTTGGAGAGGAAACGTAGTGATTCATAAAGAGAAGTTTTACGCAAAAATATGTTTTGGTCGCGTATAAATTGTTGTTTTTTTTTGTTTTCTGTTGTTTTATTTGCCTTTTCTATTATTTTTTTATTACAAAATAAAAACTAATTTGAATAAGAATAGGAATAATAGGGATTCTTAGCTTAAGATTTTAGTTGCCTCTTGTTTTAAAGTTTCGCTTGTTCAATCAACTTAAATTACCGTATTTCACAACTACCCCAAGCGCACCAACAAAAAACTTGCAGCACATGACAACTGCAAAATTTTTTACTGGCTGAAAACGAAAAAAAAATTTTCGCT